TGGTGCATGTTCAGTTTAAATGCATTTGGTTTTTTCACCTGCCCTTGATCCAGTGAGTTTTTATATAGAGAGATATTTCAAGATAAAAAAGGCTTTTTTCGATGTTGTAGTGGCTCACTTGTGGACCACAGAAGTGAAGTTCATTTCTCTACCCTTCCTAAAAGCCAAAAAAGATGGAGAAAATTAGCTCGAGTTTGTGATTTTACAGCGGAGGAGTGATTTGTGGATTTTCTTGGAAGGAGTGCCTCGTCCTGGTGATGGCGAGCTTCAGCCTGAAGTTCTTGTATAATTACTGTCTATTAAATTTCCACACTGTGTTCGTCGTTTGAGACGCTGCCTCTAGCATGAGACACAGGTGTGATACCTCGAGACAGTCGCGTGCAACAACAGATAACACCTGGGGATATCCATGCACGACGGACTGAGAGGAAGTAATTTATAAGGTCAATTTCTCATCAATTCATTAGCACTCACTCATTCACACCACCACTCTTCAAGAATTCTCGTTACTAGTTTTATATCTGTATTCTGCATTTTATTTTATTTTATCCTATCCCCTATACATATGAATTCATTGTGTCTTTCTTATTCGGCCAGCAACTAGTCTCCCTCCCTCCCATTCAGATTTATCAATTTCTTTGTTCAGATCTTTGATAATGATCGACTTGCGAAGCCTCAATACAATGACACCGCAAGAGCTTCGGCGGGACCAAATGATTGAGGAACTCGTTCTATTTGCCCGTACGGCACTGGGTCTATTCATAGTATGGATAACCTGGAAAAGTATGCTGAGTTAACATGAAATGAATTTACTTATTCAAACATCTGGACACCTACTACTCTAGATTTAGACGCAATGCTGGTCGCTTATCAAGAAAAGTCGGAACCGAAGACGGCGAGACGAGGACGAGTTCCGCATCTACGGAGAGATTTAGAGCCCGCAGATTTTTTTGATTTTGTTATGTTATGATTTCGTTTTTTCCGGAAACAATAAAAGTTCTTGTGTGTACTGGTGTGAAACGACGATCGATTCTGATCTAATCCTACTCAGGCCACTCATTTCGAGTCTTTGTGATTATCAAATCCGAATTCGTAAACACAGCCGCTTGCTGTATATGAGGCATCAAATCAACAGTCCTGTTCGCGATTACTTTGAGATGCGAAATCTGTTGAATATCGGGGATGCTATGTCCTTGATTCCTTTCTCTTCTGATGCCGCAAAAGCGCACACACTAAAAGAAGGCAACTGTGTGTAGGCAGAGGTCGCCAGACAAGCAAACTTCTCGCTATCAATGTCGTCCGCCGCTTCAACGTTCGTGATGAGTCATTTAGATGTTAGTTTTCCTTACATTTAAACTGAGGGTGATCAAGAGATTCCATCACATGACAAGTCAGGGTTCTTCATTAGTAAGGCCGAGGCCAATTACGGGTTACTGCCAGCTGTGCAGCTACAGTGATCTCAATTCTTATTCGTTCTGAATCTTAGAATGTTTCTTCGTTTCTGCAATGAATCCTCATCATCATAACATCAAACCAGGGAAAACACCTCATAATCTGCCTCCTGTTTTGGTAACGCGTTTCCTTTCTATGAGTTTTTTTGAGTGTTCCTTTTTTTACACATTGAAATGGTTATGAAGTCTTCGTTACTAGCCGAGGCTTATTACTGTACCGGCAGCTCTGGTAGCCACAGTAATCTCACATCTTGTTCTGTCTGAATCTTAGAATGTTTCTCCAATTCAGCAAATGAATATTCATCATCATAAACTTGAACCACGGAAAAAACCTGTAAGAATTCATTAAAATCTGCCTCCTAATTCGGCAGCGGTTTCCCTTTTAATGAGTTTTTGGGTGTCACTTTTTTTACTTCGTGGCTATGAACTCTGCTTTATCAACCTGGGCTCATTACTGGTTACTGCCAGCTCGACAGCTACAGTAATCTCAGCTGTCGATTCGTTCTGCATCCTAGAGTGTTTCTCCATCTCCGTAACTGAATCCTCATCTTCAAAAAGTTAAACCTGTAAGAATTCATTAAACATCTGCCTCCTATTTTGGCAGCGCGTTTCCTTTTAATGATTTTCTGAGTGTCACATTTTTACTCTGAAATGATTATAATTGTTTTTTTGGTTTTTTTTCACATTAAAATGGTTATGAATTCTTCATAAATAGCCGGGGTTGATTACTGGTTACCTCCAGCTCTGGCTGCTACAGTAATAACAATTCTTATTTGTTCTGCATCCTGAATGTTTCTCATACCCTTAATCCTCAGCATCATGAATTTAAGTCTATAAAAACATCAAAAGATCTACCTCCTATATGATTTGTCTGATTGGGTAGAGAACCAGACGCTGAAAATTCATACGGTCATGGTATACTAATCGATATCGATCGAAATACCGGATTTTTCGAAGAGGGCTTAAAAATGGTAAAGGTTAGTTCGATGCTGATTAGGTAGAGATCGGGACGCTAAAAACTTATAGACCCATAAGAAATCAATCATCGATTGAAATTATCGATTTCATGGATTACATCTACTACAATACCAACAAGAGCTTCACCTAATTTATATCCAAGTTTACTGTATATAATGAAGATATTTATTTCTGCGAAATGCAATCTTTTCCCTTCAATTTTCACTCTGTCTCAATTCAACAAGCTTTGCTTTCTTCTATTTTTTGATTTTTCTTACCTTTTCTTTAAGTCATCTCGTATCTTTTTACACTTATACGCACAATAACAGTACAGCCTAGCGCAAATTGCACCAAGTAACACTGTGTTATCTTTAAAACGATTTGTCGGAGAATTTCTTGAAGAACAGCGATAACAATATCTGGCATACAACAGACTCATTATGAACCAAAGCCACAAAATATTAACAAAAACTCGAACACATCCCTAACGCAACCACTGGCATCAAGCATTTTTTCTCTTTGTTCATGTTTTCTAGCCGGCATTTACAAATCGTCGAAGTGAATATGGCACGTGTCTGTAGAAAACATCTGCTTATTTTGCCTTCAGGTTTGCAGTAAATCAATTAAAAAAAGGTAGGGGTCATGTGCAGCTTGTGGAGCTGCGAAAGGCCAAGAAGACAGAGAGTACTGATCAGGGCGAGGTCCCACTATCGAGCGAACAAGTTGCTGCAGTGGCAACGGATTGCATACCATCATGTATAGAGAGTCGGAGAATTCCGAAACCGCCTGTTGAGCTTTTAGACGGTGGGCTTATGTTATTAATTACCGACAATCTGTAAAAACTTATTGTTAGCTACGATATCATCCCAGATAAAACTATGCCTATATTCAGAAGTGTATTCTCCGAGCATACCGTCAAGAGGCTACCAATTCTGCTTAGTGTGCGGAAAACACAAGAAATTCACTAGTTTAGCTGGTCATATACAGGATGTGCATAAGGAATTCACGGAGAAATGGGAAATACAGGTGGGTTGAGTGTTTTCTTCCAAGGGTACGGAGATGAAAAGACTGCTCTTTTTATGTTAAGGTCCTTGTGCAAACGGTCGCAGTTAGAAAGAACAAAGAAAGCGAGCGTTGACTTCACGCGGATACCCGAACCAAGGACTGACCGAGAGTGGGACACGTATGAAGAAATAGTGGCTCAACTACGAAACGGCGGTGTTCCTATTTATGGGGTCCTCTCCATTCACTTCATCACACCACCTTTTCTTGCTTCATTCATTCATTATCGCGACATCAAGGCGCAGTGTTGCAGGTTTTGGAGCGACAAGTGGTGCTCCGTGAGCGTTATCTGGCGGCTAATCTCCAAATGCAATTCAAACAACTGGAACTCATGGATCAAGCAGGACCGTCTGTTCAAGAGGCTCCTATCTTTTTTTCCATTGATACGAATATGCGAAATTCAGGGAACTTTAATCGCCAACCATTTTTCTCTGATAATTGCAAACTTCCTTCTTAGTAGACGTGCACGGTTCCTCCAACGTTCAGTGCTCCGCACATCCCACGCGAATACGAATACATTTATGCTCACGACGACCAGTACAGAGGTTACTTAACACATTCACGACGACGCCCCTTTTCCACTTTTCGGTCGCGTGGGACGGACGCGATTTTGTGGGCGCCGTCACCACATAACCGCAGATTTTGTTTTGTAAATGAACAAAAACATGAATGTCACAAAATAATTTCTGCAATGTCCAATGCGTAAAGATTATTAAACATATACAGTCTATTGCATAAACTTTAAAAAACAAGTCTTCAGCAAATGATAAGTTTCATTTCTGATATTAAGAAAACCCAAACTCATTAAACCGCTAATCCTTTCGGGTTCTAAATAATGGTGAATGTAAATGAATGATAAGCCTTAGCTCCTCACTTATGTAAATAGGCATAT